CTTGTTTAAGATAAGGGGAATGACGCCAGCAACCCCAAGGATAAGCCAGAGGAGGCTGCGAGGTGCCGGGGAATCTTCTACTTCTGCAGCCTCTCTCTCTTTGGCATGGCTCCACTTCTGTCCCTAAGTACCTCATAAGCTCCAACTCCTTTCCCCCAAAACCCCCCAGGGTTGTGGAGAAAGCGGCTGCACAGCACTGGGATCGAGAGTCCATCCAATCCATTCCCTGTAAGTGATCACCTGCCAATGACGATAATCATAATAAACTACTTGTAAACCACATGGAGCTGCTGCTCCACTCTGCAGTCTCAGGATACCTTCTCAGTTTGGTGAGCATTATACCGTTAGCTCATACTCACACAACTATAAAGTTGCTTATATTAAACGTTTCATTAGGTCCTACTTTGTTTGCTGCGCTAAGTTCCTCTCCTTTACAGGATTAGTTTTGTTTTGTTTTTGAAACATTACACTGTTCCTGGATATCTACTCATCTTTTTATTTAGAAACAGCAGCTTGCCCATAATTCCAAATACCCTCTGCCCCACAAGTGGATGCCACTATCTTTAGTTGAGAGCTACGTCCTAGATCTGTCATCTTAGACACCACTTCATTGTGTTTCTCCCTGGTCAAATGCTTTCCAATGTCATCTTTAAATTAGGTGTCCCAGCAACTCAAGGCCTTCCCTGTCTTGGGTAAATGTTCACATTCTGTCAAACATGTCTCAGCTTTTCCTGAGTTGGGCCTTAGCAAGGACTTGAAAAACAGGAACAAATGGTAAAAATGCAGTAGTGAGAAGAAACTTCAGGTAGAAGAAAGACTGTAAACAAAGAAAGACTATAAAGGAGACAGGAAAGCAGGGGCACATGGACAAAACCCCCGAGGGAGCCGATGGAGGTGGATCTCACTGTGAAAGAAAGGGAGAGGCTACCCAGATGGGGCCACATACAAAGGCCACTGCTGCATGCTCGGGCTGAAGGCCAGAACAAGGCATCTTCACTACGATGCAGGCAAGGAGGAGCCGGGGAACCCAAAGAGGAGAGGGACATGGCCTGCTGTGCAGAGGGCCTGGCTCAAGGCTCATCCATCATAGTACTCATATTGCCAGTGTCCACAAACCCTGGGAGAAGGCTAGGACCTGCAAAGGTGCCTAAGAACCAGTCACTCACCAGCAGGAAGGGGCCCTCTGGATGGTCACAGGCCTCCATCGCAGATGAGAATGTCGGCAGGCAGAAGGAGGCCCCCTCCCACCCATTCTCTGTTTTCCACACTTTGATCAATCCCCGCTTGTCCATGGTGACAATCAGCTGCAGCCGAGGGTAAGTCACCAAGTTCACCAGAGCAGCAGGCTGTAGAGGGCTTGACCAGATCTCTGTGCCCTGGGCAAAAACAAAATCAACATAACAACTTACACAGTGATCCATTTATTACATAAACACAAATTACCTTTATGCATTCAACCGACACACATTTATCTGTGTCTACTCTGTGCCAGGTTCCACAGTACAAACCAAGAACACGCAAGTGAAAAAGACATGACCTCACCCTACAGCGCAGGAGGGAAAACAGAAGAGGAAGAACAGGTGTGTCCTAGATATATGAAGACTAATAACTCGCAAAGCACAGCTGGAGTGTCTGGAAAGACCTGCTGGAGGCTGGATAGCACGTACCAAGCCTAAGCGTGGGGTTACGGCACACACAATGGCCCGATGTATCTGAAGCACTTTCAGCATTACCAAGGGTCCAGTGAACAGGAAGGCAGGCGCAGGATGGACAGGGAGGCTGGATGCAAGCCTGATGCCACGCTCAAGAGCCAGGGCTGTGCACCGCTGCATCCTGCTCTCAGTCTACAGCGATCTTCCACAGGTACTGTCTCACTCTGTTCGCGTGGTAGCCAGTATAACTGACAAGCAAATTCAGGCTTGTGGATGTGAATAAATACTTTACATTGCACAGACAGTAGCTGCCCTGCTATGAATACCTCCCCCTTTTCGGGGTGTGCACCAGCAGTGCTGCCATGGGCCAGCCCTGGCCAAAGCCTAGCCCCACACACAGTTCACTGATCCAGGGGAAAACAACTGCCCCAAGTGGGATCCACTCCACGGTCTCCTGGGATTTTAAAAATAGGAATGCAGAGGTAAAGAGCCTGGTGCCACTGAGTCAGGGCCTCAGGGGTGAACCACTGACTGCTGCTCCCCACTTCCCAGGCCTGCCATGGTCAGGTTTCTTCACAAGTGGGGTTATTATATCTTTTCTTTACCATGTTTTATTATTTTTATCATGATCTCTATCTTTTTCTAGTCATATCTTGATATTCCTCTATTAGTTTCTTTTTTTCTCCCTCAGTTGATTTCTGCTGCTCAAACAGTTAACGTGACTAGGACAGACCCCAGCACCAGGGACTGGGCTGATGGCAAATGACTCTCAGAGAAATACAGAATATTTACAAGTGTTTAGTGGTATTGAAGTGGGCAAAAAGCAATGCAACTCTCCTTCTATGTCAGAATGGAAAAGCAGCAGCCAGTGAAAGAGAATGCTAGAACACACTACTCAAATTCCTGCCTGTAGTCCCCAATTCCATGTGCCTCCCAAGGGGAGGGAATCCCACGCAGGTCATGAAACAGGAATGTGGAGGCTGCAGGCGGAAGGATGTTTCTGCTGGCACCAGATACTGTGACACTAGAAGGAGACAATCTCAAACCCTAGAATTCTCCAGGGATCAGAGAACAATGCATGGCATGAGAAACCATGTCAGAAATCAATATAGATGCCAGTCAAAATGTGGAGTTGAATATTATAAGTACACATAAAATTAAGCAAATTTTTAAAAAGAAAGATAATTACTGACTTTCTGGGAAACCAAAATGCTATAAGGGTGAAGGGGAAGGAGTGGTAAAGATAATTTACTTCATGACTCAGCTGTGAAGTGCATTTACAAAATTATAATAATGTATACAATAAATGTTGACCTCAACAAAATCACAGTATAATTGTTTTGGGACAGGAAGGTTAAACCTGTGTGCGGGAAGAGAAGGAAAGAGCTAAATCACCTGCCAAAGAACTCAACAGATGCCTAATAATGAGATGCCTGATTTCCCTTTGGGAACATTGTTTCCTCTGGGGATAGAGGGGCAAGGCATGACTGGTTTTAACATAATCCTAGGGCTGGCCAGTTATCTCAGTTGGTCAGCGCACAGCCTTATAACACCAAGGTCAAGGGTTTGGACCCACATGCCAGCCAGCCGTGCCCCCGCAACCCTCCCAAAATAAAAGAATCTTTTTAGAACTTTGACCTTTAAACTATGCACAACTCTAATATTAGCAGCACCCCAATTTCTATCACCTATCAGGTGACTGCAAAACTTTGCCATGCTTTTAGTTATTTTCTCCAAAAAATATTGTCATGAATTTTACAAATAAACAAATATTTTAAAAATTTATTCACGAATATAGATCCAAAAAATTTTAAATTAATTATTGGCAAACTCTACCCTACTGGGTATTTAAAAAGACTAATGTACTAATGAGATGAGAAAGGACTATACCACAGCCAGAAAGATGAGACAATCACAGCCAACCATGGGCAGTTTTAAGGCAACGTGTTTGAAAACTCAGAAGGAATGTAATTTTCTAGCAAAATATAAGTGATTCAGCTTGATTCAAGAACAGGCAAAATCCTGGACAGAAAAGAAGTTACAGGAGAGACTGAAAAGGCTGGTAAAGTTTAATCACAATGGAGACAAAAGGTCCAAACATTTCACAAGTGAATTCACTCCATCTTTTAAAAAAATGTTTCATTCATGCTATGGGTCAAATGTGTCCCCCAAAAGTTCATGTATTGGAAACTTGATCTCCACTGTAACAAAATTAAGAGGGTTGGACATCCAATTATGGTATATAAAAGGTGAGGCGATTAGATTGGATTGTGAGAGGTGATTGGAATGTGAGGACTGTGCCCTCACAAATGAATTGGTCCACTGAGTAATGGGCATGGTTCCGATGGCTTTATAAGGAGGGCAACTGAGATAGCTCTCTTCTTGTTCAGCAGTTTCTCACCATGTGATGCCTTGAGCTGCTGTAGAGAGTCACCACCCAGAAGGCCCACACCAGATGTGTTCCCTGGACTGTGGACTTACCAGCCTCCAAAACTGTAAGAAATAAATTTCATTTCTTTATAAATTACCAGTTTCAGGTATCCTGTTATAAGTAACAGAAAACAGACTAATACAATTCCTATACTGTTCTTATTGCTTCAGATTATACAAAAAGAGCACTCTCTCTCTCTCTCTCTCTCTCTCTCTGTGTGTGTATACACACACACACACGATTCCAAAGTTCATATGGAGGAAGGACCATGAAGAACATTTGAAATAACAACTGTAAAGAAGATTTGCCCTACTAGACATTCAAACTTTTATAAGGCTATTGTATATAAAGTGATATAGTACCAGCACAACAGCCATTCATATAAATGAAACAAGGATTTATAAACACAGGCCCAAATCTAAATAGAAATTTGATATATACAATAGGAGGCATTATAAGTCAGTGGAGGTTTTATTCAATAAACAATGTTGGAACAGTTGGTGGCCTAGTTAGAAGAAACTACAGTCAGACCCCTATGTTTCCAATCACATATAAAAAGATATTCTTATAAATTAAACATCAAAAATGAAAAAAAAAAAAAAAAAAAAAAAAAAGTTAGAACAAAATATAGGAAAAAAGGAACTTCAAGGTGGGATAAGGGAGGCCTTCTAAACCAAGACAGGATACCCAGAAATCATAAAAGAAGGAAAAAATCAAGACTGGGTAAAAATTAAACTTCTGTAAAGCAAAATCCAAGAAAGAAAAATATTGAGTTTTCTTTTTTTGTTGTATCCTTGTCTGGTTTTGGTATCAAGGTGATGTTGAACTCATGGAATGAATTTGGGAGAATGGCCTCTGTTTTAATTTTTTGAAATACTTTGAAGAGGACTGTTGTTAATTCCTCTTTACAGGTTTGGTAGAATTCAGCAGTAAAGCCATCCACTCTTGGGCTTTTCTTTGTTGGGAGACTGCTGATTACTGCTTTAATCTCGTTACTTGCTATTGGTCTGTTCAGGTTTTCTATTTCTTCTTGGTTCAGTCTTGCTAGTTTGTATGTGTCCAGAAATTTATCCATTTCTCCCAGGTCTTCAAATTTGTTGATGTATAGTTGTTTACAATATATGTGATGTATAGTTGATGTTGTAGAGTTGTTTACAAGTCAATAAATTTGATACACCACATCAATAAAATCAAGGACAAAAACCATATGATTATCTCAACAGATGCAGAAAAAACATTTGACAAAATTCAACATCCCTTCTTGATAAAGATTCTCATCAAATTAGGTACAGAAGGAAAGAATCTCAACACAATAAAAGCCATATATGACAAACCCACCACCAATATCATCCTGAATGAGGGAAAGCTTCTACCTTAAGAACAGGAACAAAACAAGGATGCCCACTCCCATCATTTCTATTTAAAATAGTATTGGAAGTATCAGCCAGAGCAATCAGGCAAGAGATAGAAATGGAGGACATCCAGACTGGAAAAGACAAAGTCAAACTGTCCCTGTTTACAGATGTCATGATCCTACATAGAGAAAAACCTACAGACTCTACAAAAAACTCTTACAGCTGATAATTTCAGTAATGTTGCAGGATACAAAAATCAACATGCAAAAATCAGTAGCATTTTTATATTCCAGCAATGAACTAGCAGAAAAAGAAATCCAGAAAGCAAGCCCACTTACAATAGTCATCAAAAAAATAAAATAAAATAAAATAAAATAAAATAAAATAAAATACCTAGGGATCAATTTAACCAAGGAGGTTGCCTTGGGTTGAATGTCCCCCCCAAACTGAACCCTCACTGTGACTGTTAAGAGGGTGGGAAATCCTATTATGGTAATTGCAAGGTGGCGGCTTGAAGATGTGATTAGATTCTGAGGATCATGCCTAATGAATGGATTAAAAATAGTGGTCACGGGCATGGTTCTCAGGGCTTTAAAAGGAGAGTGTATGAGGAGCTGTCTCTCTGCTCTTTCTGCTCTGCCATTTTCTGCCCTGTGAGTCCCTTGCATTGCTGTAAAGTCACCACCAAAGAAGACTCACCAGATGTGTTCCCTGGACTTTGGACTTCCAAGCCTCTGAAACTGTAAGCAATAAATTTTGTTTTCTTACAAAGTACCCAGTTCTGTGTATTTTATTATAAGCAACAGAAACAGACTAAAACAGAGGTGAAAGATCTCTACAACAAAAACTACAAATTACCGCTGAAAGAAATTAAAGAGGACATAAAAAGATGGAAAAACATTCCATGCTCTTGGATCAGAAGAATTAACATTACAGAT